GTAATCCACCTAAGTATCCCCACCCAATGAGCTTTTGACAGCTGTCACCTACTAAAACTTGGAGAGAAACAATATATTAGCAATATACAGATTAATATACAAGAAACCAAGAGCTGCTGAAGAAGAAATAACAGAGGAGGGTGCTGATGACATAGAATTATAGCATGCCAGGGATGAGCTTACTAGGAAGGATGCCGATAATGGTTTTACAGGCATTGATGCTGAAATTTACAGATGGGCATCAAAATTTCCTTCTACGTGGATGACTGTTTCGTATTTTTTTCGAATAAACCACCACAACCTACGAAGCCCCCGTGGAAATACCGTGCTTCACATTGCAGCTAATGTTGGCAAAAATGGAGATCTTTCACTACATCTAGTATCTCTGTATTGCCAACAAAAATGGGAGACGATCTCTGTATTGCCAACATTAGTCGCAATGTGAAGCAAGATATTTCCACGAGGGCTTCATAGGTTGTAGTGACCTATTCGGAAAACATACGAAACAATCATCCACGTAGAAGGAAATTTTGATGCCTATCTGTAAATTTTAGCATTAATGCCTCTAAAACAATTATCGACATCCTTCCTAGCAAGCTCATCCCTAGCATTCTCTAATTCTATGTCATCAACACCCTCCTCTGTTATTTTTTCTTCAACAGTTCTTTGTTTCTTGTATATTAATTTGTATATTGCTAATATATTGTAGTTTGTTTACCTGCAGAGAGAATGTCAAAACTCTCGTGTGAGTATCAACCCTCGTGGCCACCATAACCTTTGCCGTTGGATTCGCAATGCCGGGTGGATATAACAACTCTGGTGATCCTCAAGATGGCATGGCAACTTTGGGTAGTAAATGGTCATTTCAAATATTCTTGATATGCAACACCATAGCAACCTACAGCTCCATCACTGTCATACTTGCCCTTATCTGGGCATAAATAGGTAATCTTAATATAATTTATGCTGCCATGAGATTTGTATTACCCATGTTGAGCATATCCCTTACGATGATGTCCATCATATTCCTTGCTGGTGTTGCTCTAGTTGCGAAAGATCGTTTTTGACTTTCCTACATTGTTCTGGCCATCAGTTCAACCTTCATCATCATCATATAATAATTCATTATTCCACTCGCCGTCACAATTTCCTCCAGGAATCGCTTCATCTTGCTAGTGAACTTCGCTATGTTGATGTACGATCTAAGTAGAATAAAAAACACGAGCCATTAAATTAAAGTAAGAGAGAAGGCCAACAATTTTATAATCACTTGAAATTAAGGTCGCAAGAACTTAATTTTACGTACACATAACTTTGACTTATGTCATCAGAAATAGCCAAAATTCACAAACACATGCTTATAAGCCATTACTGGGATTTAACAAACCAAAATGGACGCCATGTACAACAGTTCAAAAAGAATTTAAGAAGTGAAAAGTTTAATACAATGGAAATCTAAAAATCAAATACATATCAAACAGATTCGGTTAAAGTATCAGTATCTTTGTAACTTGGAACAAAATAAACCCATGAAATTTCATATGAAAATAAAAATAAAAATAAAAATAATACTTTAAAACCAAAAAATCCTCAATTCCCCCTCCTCCCCTCCAACCCCATTATCCCTTCCCACTCCTCTCTCTTCCCCTCTCACAGACCCAAAACCCAGCCCCCTCCCTAAGCCAAAACCACAGCCCTCATCTCCTAACCCAAATCATCATCACCCTTCTCCAACCGTCGGTCGTCCAAAGGGTCTGATATAAGCAAAGCTCCACATATACCAGAGCTATTGACACCAATAGCTATTAAACGAAAAATAAATAGCAAAAATAGAAAGAAACAAAAAAAAAAAAAAAGAATAATGAGTTCATATCTCAATGCTTAGCAAAAGTATTTAATACAACAACCGAAAAATTAGAAATTTGTATTATAAAATTTCAAGCTGACTTCAACCCAAGAAAGAAAAAAAAAGAAAATCAGATTACTTTTCCTACATTTTCTCAACAAGCAAATGGAAAAAGATGGAAAGTTACCAAATTTGGCGGGAAGGTCCGAGAACACCCTAGCAAATGGTTTCAGAACGACAATAGCTGAGGTTAATTGGACAAGGTGAGCAAAAACAAGCAAGCATAATCCCAGAAGGGTGATGATGATTTGGGTTATTAGATGAGGGCTGTGGTTTTGGCTTAGGGAAGGGGCTGGGTTTTGGGTCTGCGAGAGAGGAAGAGAGAGGAGTGGGAAGGGATAATGGGGTTGGAAGAGGGGAATTGGGATTTTTTGGTTTTAAAGTATTATTTTTATTTTTAATAGTTAAATTAAGTTTTTTAAAAGACAATTTTTAATTTTTAATTTTTTTCTTCACACATGGCACTTAGTTTATCAAAATAGTGAGTCCTATTGGTGCCACATCAGCATTTTTTAAGGAGTTTTTAACAAATTTGACGGTAAGTAGCAAAGTGAGACATAAAACATTAGTCAAGGGTCAAAGTAAGTCACTTTAACTTTAAGAGAGTTTAGTGAGAATTGACCAATGTTTCAAGGGGCACTGTAGCACTTAAGCATTTAACTAATAGGGGCCTTGCCCTATGATCTAGGGGTGGGCATTATTACCGAAAATCCGACCGAACCGGCCGAATTGGACCGTTTTCGGTGGTTTGGTTCGGTTTTTATAATTAAAAATGCATGAATCGGTAAAAAAAACCGACCAAACCGGCCATGAATCGGGTTGAACCGATTTAATTTTCTCCAAACCGGCGAAAACCGGACCGGACCGAACATTTTAAATTATATTATTTTAAAATGAATTAAAACATGTGGCAGCAGCCATGGTCTTAAATATCGGAGGTATCGGAAGTATCAGAAGTCAAAAAACACGGAAATATCGCAGGAAATATCGGGATATTATCGGTATCGGAAAAAATTGAATAAAAACCACGGAAATTGTAAGAAAAACTTGGAAATTTTTATTGAAACTTTGTAGGATGTTTATTTAGTCAATTATCTATTAGTTTATCACAAAAAATTGGAAGGAAATACATTGCATGATGGATTTAATTGATTTAAGTTGATTATATAGCGAGCTGGCAAACACCGTAAGTGTAGAAATATGTAGTAATTAATGAAAGAAGATTAAACACACCATAATCATTTATATATAATGAATTACTACAATATTTTACACTTTATACATTGCATGGTAAGATACATGAGTGACTTAGTACCACATAGAGTTCCTATGAGGTTCAAAATTTTCACTATCTTCATCATCTCTATGTGTAGAGTAAGTATATTTTGAAGAGTAGTCATCAAATGATAAATCCCCAAAATAGTTTTCCATGTAATTGTTAACATGCCACCCATATGGATCCGAGATTGGTTGAC